ATGTTTTGAGAATGATGAGGGCAATGATTGTACAAATGTGCTTTACACAGTTGATTTATGCATGCATTGTGATAAGAGTTGTATGAGTCCCTAATAAAACAATTAAAAAAACTAATTAATTAATTAATTAAAAAATAGATAAAGCAATAATTGTATGAAACAGTGAATATTCTCGTAACCAAGAACCTAGGGAGTATCAAGGGTTACACATTGGGCTGCGAACAGCAAGGTCAACAGTTCACACCCATCTGCCACTCTGAAGGAGAAAGAGGAGGCTGTCTATGAGCACTTCTCTTCAGTCCCATAGAGCAGGGTGTCAAACTCAATTTAAACGAGGGCCAAATTATTTGGTTCAAGAGGCCACATCAAATTTACAAATTTTGTTAAATTTATATTTTGAAGTGAGGATTCAGGAATATGAATGGGATAATTAAAACCCTATATAATTGCTTTTATTTAAACATTTTATTTAATGTATTTATAAAACTAAAATTATTCTTTTTTTCTGCGAAACTTGCCAGCACTTTCCTTCTACTAGTTTTCACTTATCTCTTATGTTGTGACTGGAAAATAAAACAAAGTAATTAATAAAAAACACAAAATAAAAAAATAAACAAACAAACAAAACCACAAAACGTTGGACAACTGACAAACGTGATGCACAATTGTAACGGCTTCCCTCTAAAAATGTTAACTAGCGTTGCCGCTAAGTATGATTCATAACAGCACAACCCAGAGTGTTCTTTTTAACCTTTTCGCTATTGGGATCTGTTTATATTACATGGATCTGTTTATATTACGTGACATTGAGAGTGGCAGATTTATTGCTTCCAAAGGTTACTGGAACTGAGTCAGTGCATTTATACACGTCCATAGGCCCCCAGGAAAGGCATTGGGCCACATGTAGACTCGTCTTCAGTACTTAAAGGGTTAATGAGAGAATTGTGTGTACGGTATTGCCTTGATCTTCCCTAAGCGCTATTTTCTTCATAATAATTTTTTTCTATTTTCATTTTATTTCAGAGTATCAAGGGCCACAAAAAATTATCTTGGGGCCTGCATGTGGTCCACGGGCCACCAGTTTGACACCCCTGCTATATAGAGTTGCTGTGAGTCAGAATTAACTTGAAGGTAGAGTTGTTGATAGCGTTAAAGTTTATTGTGCCAACCTGGCCAATAAACACATGTGGGGTTAGGCTCGGTGAGCCTCGCCTTTCCAGTTCTTGGGTCTCTTGCTTTCTGATGGTTGGACCAGGGTCCCACTGCCTTAGCTAGTTCCCTGCTTCAGCTGGCATGGCTCACTTCTTGCAAGAAATCCCTGAGGAGAAGTCACATGGACCTACCCTGAATCAGCCCTGCGTGCTGGAGCAGCCGTGTAAAAGAACCCTACCAGTGCTGAGATGCTTACACCTTCACTGACTCAGCTTTCCTCCTGCAGTCGGCATCATTGCGTCTGTTTTGTGAGATGGAGGAGGACTTTGTGGACTGGTGTCAGACATATGGTTTAATGTTGGACTTGGGGGCTTGGGCAGCACTGGGTTGCCCAAGTGCTTGATGCGCACTTAATCTTTATATAAAACTCGTATACATGAGTTTCTGCGGATTTGTTTCTCTCATGTACCCAGACTAACACAGTTGTTGTTGTTGTTTTGCATCCTTATACCCCATTCTTTGGGTGGGCACCATGTTTTTCAAATGTCAGTTTCTCTAATTCATTATCTTTAATTATGGTTGAAGCAAATGCTTTTTGAGTCTTGGGGTTCTTGGCCACAGCATCTGTCAATTATGAATGTATAATTGTGGTAAGCATCGTCTAGGATGTGCTCTGTGATTTCACTTCCTCCTATGTATTACGTGTATAAACTCTTCCACTGCACTGGATCGACTGACTTGCTTCTAACACTGTATTAGAGGACAAGCACTGTGCTTCTGAGATGTCACTTCAGATAGATGGTAGCTGTCCTCTCGGGTGTCCTTTCTCTTTGACCTGCTGGCGCTGAAGGAATGGAGTTGCCTCAATAAGGGCTGTACCATTGAGGAGGACTTCCTAACAGGTACTGCATCCCTGGGCAATAACCCTATGAAGGAGCTTGGGACAGATCCTCCTCCCCCTCCCCCCACTCGTGGGACCTTGAACAGACAGCAGTCCCGACCTCCAGATTACCTTCTTGAGACAGACCCTGGACTGGGAGCATTCAATGAAGCCATACTCGGATTTCTGATTCAGAGAAACTGAGATGAGAAGTATTTGTTGCTGTAAGCAGATAGGTTTTCTGAGTTATTTTTTACGCAGAAACAGATAATGAATACAGTTTTGAGTGCATGGAAATGGGGTTGTATTCTAACAAATGCTTAAAACTGGAGAGATGGCTTTGGGACTTATTAGGCAGTGGATGGAGACTGGAACAATGTTGAGGAGCATGACAGAGAAGCCTGAACTGCCTTGAATAGAATCTTGGTATAATCTTTAAACTTTGAGCATGCTTCTGGTGTGGGATCAAAAGACATTGAGAAAGACATAATGGCAATCTAGATGAAGGG